GCTTCCTTTTAGATATTCCGTGTTTTTTTGTTGTTTTTTTTTGTGAAATATATTAATACTATACAAAGAATTTTGAAAGAGACATATTCAGTGCATTAAAGAAGTTGGGAAAACTCTTTCGAAGAAAATAATGAACGTATTGAAGTATCTGAATTGTCTGTAATATCAACGCCTTTGACATAATTTCATGAACTTTTTTGTTTCAAATTTGGTAAAGAATAAATGTCATCAAATCCTCTTTTTTTGCTATTTTACATAACAACGTAAACATTTTGTTAAAAAAAAACCCAATAAAATGTCTTATATGGTCCTTTTTTCTTCTTCTAAAATTCATATTTAAGATTAAAAATTGAGCAAAACTAAGAAATTTCTCAACCTGGAGAAAATATGACTTTACTATCATATAATTTCTATTGATCAGTCTTTTTAAGTTGAAGTTACCAAACATATAAAAAATGCAAATTTGAGGAAAAAAATATGTTTTGATTTACAATTATTGCAAATGATGATTTTACTTCTGATACAAAAAGCTACTAGATATTTCTTAACAAAGAGTTATTCCACTACACCATAATGCGACAAAATACCTTTTTTCTTACATTCATTAATACAGCTTGAATGTCAGAATATACTTGTGCTTAATATAAATGAGATATCATACCAAATCAGGGTCAACAGCAGGTATACAATTGGAAATGTGAAATTTCTTGAGTATTAATCGAAGGAGAAATCTAAGTAAACCCAATCTATTCTTATTAATATATATTGGATATAACTACTTGAATTATCTTTCTTTAATCAATTTTAATCAACTATAATAGATCACCGTACGGCCTTCAACAATGAGTAAAACCCATACCGCATAGTCAACTATAACAGGCCCCGAAATGACAAATGTAAAACAATCCAAACGAGAAAACTAACGGCCTGATTTATGTACAAAATAATGAACGAAATACACTCTTCTTATGACAAAGGTGACAGACTTTAATCGTATTTTTACGTCAGTAACCATTACTGATAAAAGGTTATTTCAAAACTAGAACGATTTATTTGCGCACATTTCTCTAAATTTATGTGTTTTCTAAAATAAAATACAATGTCTTATTTTCATTACTTAATCAGAAAATTCCTTTAGAAGCTTGTTATACTGATATTAAAAAATGGTAATCTTCAGGTTTACTGCATATTCATAGAAAGAAATTAGGAAAAAGCATGTACAAACAAAATATTAAGCTCTTTCCATGGACTAATTATCAAAGTGTTTCACATGCGGATGGTCATTCACATAATACAATTTCTCAAACTCTGCTTATTTTTCCGAGCAAACCGATCTGAGCATGTTGGCATGAGAACTTTTAATATGAGATTATAGAATTTTTTATGACATACCGATTTAAGTCTTATTTTTGTTGAGTTTGTAAATTTAATGGAAAATATTTTTATGCAAATTATTATCCGTTAAAATAAATATCTCTCCGGTGTATATCTAACAAGACCTTGCAATGACTTTGATGTCAATTTATTGTAAAAAAAATGAACACTTAAGCCTATGATTAGTAATTCATATCCGGCTTATAGATTCCGTCATCAAAAAGACAAAAAAAAAATTCTCTGTATTTCTTTTATTTGTAGATTGGAAAAAATGTTATTATAGATACATTTTGATATTTCCAATTAATTCACTATTTTTTTTAAATGATCAATGGGTTGAACTAAGACATCAACTATTCTAAAGAATAAATAATATCTTACATCCGATATAAACAAAAAGATACCAAGGTGGCAGTTGAGGTAAGACAGACAATACCATGGCAACAAGAAAACGAACGAAAAGACAAACAGCTGTCCATAAAACGATACACAGATACAGACACAAAATGCGCAACCCAACAAAAAGTCACTACGACGCCTGATATTGTTTAGGATTTGTATGCTCCTTTAAATGTGAATGCCAACAAAATTGATGTTTTTAAGAATACTATGAGGGAAAATTTTATTTGAGGAGCCAACCACTATGGGTAGCCAATGTTTGTAAACGGGGTGTTTTGTTGTAGTTATTTGAGGATTTCACCATTATCCATGTAAAACAGATTTAAACACCTTTGTTCTCTTTGTTCTTTGGAGATGTCCTTCGACATGTTTAACATTATTGATATTTATTGACTGTTATGGCACGCGTTTTCACAACTTTGTTCTTAGTTGTCCTCCGACATGTTTAACATTATTGATATTTATTGACTGTTATGGCACGCATTTTCACAACTTTGTTCTTAAGAGTTGTCCTCCAACATGTTTAACTTCATTCAGACTATTATGTCACTCATTTTTACGCGTGACTAGAATTATCAACTTTTTACGTAAGCTTTGTATGCATGGTCATCACACGTTGGTCGTCTTAATAAAGCAGTCTTTTTTAAAAGAATATTGTGAATAGATGAAGCACAATAGTAGTGTATCTTAATCTTCATAAATATTTGTGTACTTTTGTTAGATAGATTTAATTGATACGTTAAGATATTTAATCGAATGATCAAATTATAGAATGTTTGCTTTCATGTTTACTTTCGTGTAAAGCGACATAAACTGGAGACACAATTTTTGAAGAATTTCAATATATTATCTTTGAGTAGCTTTAAAATGTTTAATTTCAAATGAAATAAGTACAGTCTGATTAATTCAATATCAGCAAAAGCGGTTTTATGTTTAAAATAGCATGTGTCGCTTCAAATAAATATAAAAAGGACATTTCAGGTAGATCAGGGATTAATTTTAAAGCATAAATATTATTCATTGATAGAATGAATGATCCAAACAACGATTAGAAACGAGAGTATGTGTTATCAAATCCAGTAAAAGAAGTCTAGAATTATAAAAGTTCATGTTGTAATTAAATATTAAGATAGTAAACAAAGCTCATTTAATTCTTACATGATATCAGATATAGCTGTTAGACTACATCCTGGACAGACTTCATAAACAGTCTAATACAAAAATGATCTTGTGCAATAGCAAAATATACGAAAATAAATGAAGTTATATTTTTCTCAGACTGTTTATGACGTTTGAATCCACAATTTGACGTGTACTGGTTGATATCCTGTTTTGGGAAACCTATTGGCTTTGAACAAGTTTTCAGGAACTGCGAGTACTCTTAGGTCGGTTATTTTTGTCTTATGTCTTTTTTTTAGTTGTTTTTTATGCTTTGTGTCGATCTGACGAGTCAAGGCTGAATTTCACCGTTTGATCTTTTGTTCTATTGTTAAACTAATGCCCCTGGTTAGAGAGGGTTGAGCACTCACGTACCGTCCCAAGTCCGGGGCCTGTTATTCATTGGTTGACATTGTTCGTTGTCTGTTATATTTTTGTTTTGTTTATAGTTTTGCTCAGTCTTTGGTTTTCTAGGTTGAACTGTTTACTGTTGTTTGTCTTTTTTCTTTTTTAGCCATGGCGTTGTCAGTTTATTTTCGACTTATGAGTTTTAATGTCCCTTTGGTATCCTTCGCCTCTCTTTTGAACATTAACCAGGTCGTGTACCTTTTATAGCATACTATACTGTATGGGTTTTGCTCCTTGTTGTAGGTTGCCATACGGACTACATCTTCTAATTCTTATAACACGACAGTGAACATAAATGGAGTCCCATGGTGGCGACCTGAAAACCGTAGAACTCATAATTTCAGTCGTTCTCCTTCATAGCCTTGCTGCAGTATTTTCTAGCTAAGAGTTACCTCTATTCAGGAAATCGTCATATTGAGAACAAGCTCTGACATATAGTAAAGTTTTATGCATTTTTTTAATTCATTCGTTTTAAAAGAATTTCGGTACGATACACATAGCAGCTATTGAACCTAACTTCATGATTAACCAAGTTTTCTTGTGAGTACGTTTATTGGTGAAATGGTAATTAACCTGGTTAGTCTCGTTTTGATAAGACCATCATGATTGCTTTCTTCTTTACGTATTCTGCAATACACAATGCACAATGTGCAAACAATTATTACCTCCTAGTGCTATTCGCTTCTAGTCTCCTCTGTCCTTATCGCATTTTGTCATACAACAATGCGTGTAAACATATCCCACCTTAGTGCATTTCTGTTTCGTCTATTCTGTTCTCGCAATCTGTCATATAATCCAATGTGTGCAAAAAATCCACCCTACTGCTCTTTCTCTGTTGTCTCTTCTATTATCACATTCTGTCGTTCAATGCACTGTGTACAGAACGATTGCATCCTAATTCATTCTTTCTCGTTTCTTCTGTTATCACATTCTGTCGTTCAATGAATTGTGTGCAAACATATTGCATCCTTGGAGCTCTTCTCTCATGTCTCTTCTAACCTTATCTCATTTTGTCATAAAATGCACTGTGTACAAACATATTCCACCCAAGTTCACTCTCTCTTTCGTCTATTCTGTTCTCACGTTATGTCATTCATTGCACTATCTGCTAACATACTACACCTTAGTGCACTTTCTCTCCTGCCTGCTCTGTCAAGGCTTATCGCCTATTGTCATACAATGCACGTTTGATTGGCTTTAGCACCTGAAGTTAACGAAGACTGTGGGTGTTTTTCTTCCGTTAATGGATGTATACCTTTATGGAAAACAGCGATAATGAATAAATAATTGTTACTGACTCTTTAATGAATTAATTCCTCGGGTTCTAAATTGTGATTTTACTAGCGAAAGAAATCAGTCAGATTTTTCTTTTGTTCCTTCTTTTTCATGCATATTTACTAATATAGATTTTTGTTGATTGTGTTTGATCAATAAAATATGTCTTTTGTTATTGAAAAGAAGATTCATCGCACCTTCATAACCTTTAGAAACGGAAATCAAAATGAAAAATTGAATATAATTTAAATCTCTTATTGGACCCTAACAGTGAAATTATTTAATTGTCAGAATGTTGAGCTTTGTACAAGCATGTCTATGGCAGGTATAATATAAACTGTAATTAATTATGGATTAGCTCTATTGTATAATATTTTGTTATTTTGGATATTTTTATCGGAGCGTGGAGAAATCATTGATTACTTTGACCAAACAATAGTGACCGTGTACTTTCCATTAATGAAATCAGTTAATGATATCAGAGCGTAAAAGGTTGTTTAATTCAAATACGCCAACAGTGTCATTTTGGTAAAGAAAAGTGTACAAAGTGCAATAAAGTGAATCTTATAAATGACTAAAAATGATATTTTGCGTAAAGAGGAAAATGGAGAAGGAAAGAAAAATGAATTGGATGATCGGAATGACAGCTCTGGAATATTACAAAGCAATTGTGAGAAAAAGACAGAAAAGGAAACAAGAAAAATTAAGACGAAAAATCTGAAAAGGTGCTCTTCAACTGTTCAGCCTCTTCCTTTAGAGGAAAATAACGAAAGTTTTACCGTAGAAAATAGAAAAAAGGAAGAAAGAAAATCGCCTTTGAAATATTGTGTTTTTATTACAAACCATCCGTTTTTAACCTTTGGTGAGTGTATAATGTTTATTTTTATTTTGACTTGAAAAACTGTTTTAAACATGAAAAATTACATCTAGTTTAGTTTTTATCACGGTCTTTTATGATAGAGAAGAAAAGATAACGGATAGAATACAGACATCTTTCAATCTATCGGTGTATTTTTTTTCTCAGTGTTCGAGAATTAGATACAAGTTATTCCCGTGATAATCCTTATACAATTATCTTTAGGATTTGATGTGGTTTATACCCTAATATGATAACTTCTGGCCGCATATATTATTTTGAACAAAGCATACATATGTCTTTCACAAATCTAAAGATTGCCTTTCAAATGTTTTATTTCAATATAAATCTAAATGTATCGGTTCACCCATGAAAAGTGATAAGAAATATAAAAGTCTGAATTGACATATTCACGTTGGGGTTTTGACCCGTGGATTTTTTTTACACTTGTAAGTATTGACGATCAACTACATGGCTATAGACACATCTCCTTGGTCCTGATATTATGATTATTATTTGTCTTATGTTGCTTTTAAAAACTGAATATTAACATGCATATGGCTTGATAAGTTTGTACAATAAAGTGCGCACATTTTTTTAAGATACTTATAAATATACGAAAACCAAAATATATAAAAAAAAAATGATTTGTAATTGAAAATAATATTTTGAAAAATATTAAATGATTGAAGAAGGTATATGAAATCTATTTAGAACACATCACAATTACATACATAATATGATCGTAGCCTAATAAGAAGTTCTTAAATTTCATATGTATTCCCTTCTGCTATTTATTACCACGTTAACAATATGATGATTGAATGTTTTGTCCAAATTTTTTAAAAGATCTGTATAATCATATCGTACATGACATCAACAGTCTACAATTACAACTTGCCCTTACTAGTGTAATTTTGAACTTATCATACATCATATAATAAAATTGAGAATGGAAATGGGGAATGTGTCAAAGAGAAAACAACACGACCATAGAACAGACAACAGCAGAAGGTCACCAACAGGTCTTCAATGCAGCGAGAAATTCCCGCACCCGGAGGCGTCCTTCAGCTGGCTCCTAAACAAATGTATATACTAGTTCAGTGATAATGAAGTATGTGGATCCGGTTCTTGGCCATTCTTGAAATTTATAGTGATCTTCAGCTGTTCTTTTTTGTTAATCTTGTGTTATTCGCGAGCTGCTTCCTCTACGTTATTCTAATTATCCATTTTTTTAGTTTAAAACTGAAGTTTTCGGCATCAGACACCAATAATGTAGCGTGGCAGGGCTCCGGAAGTTTCGAAGAAAAAAAATCGATCCCAAATTTTTTATTAAAAAAGGGGGTCGACGTAAGTAGGAAACTAAATGTGTTCAAATAATTTGAACACGATTGCAGTTGAAAAAATGTATTAGTCTCGCTCTTTTTTCCCACGTACAACCCTATTGACAATTATTGTCGATGGCAAATCTATCTTTTATCCTCCCTTAAACTTATGAAAGGATACCCTATACCATAGTTGTGTATGTTATCTTGTGTCTATGCTTAATAATATATTTATTTCACAACTTATCTTTCAAGATACAAATTTATACAAAAGATGAATTTTTAACTACCAAATACGGCAGTAATCTAGCTATATGCATAACCAGAACTAATTTCAGTGCGTCTTAAGTTTTCAAATTCGATTTAAACATTGCATATTCAGCACTTACTGGTCATTATAAGACACAACAGAGGCAAATTGCCAATGAGCACGAAACCTTATTCATTACTTTCAAAATCAACTGAAGATCAAAAATAATTTAGATCTGTATTTTTTCAACGAATGGGTTCTGGTTGACGTTAGATGTTCGTATAGAACACTTAAAATCAGCAAAATTAAACAAAGTTTACAAATATGTTTTTCTGTACACACCTTTATAATTCTCGATAGTTTCTACTGCGATTTACTATTACGTGTGTCTTGCTAGAAAAGTTGTCAAGTGTTGATTGCGACTATTAAAGATATGAAAAATCACAAAAATACAAATGTGAATTCAGGCTACATTGGCTTTCATTTTTCAATCTTTATCTTGAGAAAACAGTTTTTGGAGAGGACCAATTTTCCCTTTCTAAAATTATTTTGATGCTTGGTTTTGAAGAAATTAGACCACGTGATCCTTGAAAGGTAAAAACAAACAATCTGATTCTTCCCAATAATTCCTTGTAAGTATTCAAAAGCAATCCTGATTTTACGCCTTCCAAAAATGATTAATCTTCATTTTGTTTCATTTGACATGGGGAATATTATTCTTTTTATAAAATGATATTTCAAGATTCAGTAAAAAGTTTATTTCAGATGTACTAAAATGAACAACTTATTTAACACTTTACTTACAAAAACAGATTTGATGCAAATTATTTCTTTGCAAATGTTTTCCCATTAGATTTCAAATGTTGAAATTTTCTATCACATTTCTGAACTTAAATTGAACCTATACATCGTGAAGCGATATTAAATAGACAAGATTGAGAAAAGCATGACTTGTATAAAGGAACTGCTAACACGTTAAATCTACCAGAATGACTTATTATTGATCTGCAATTTAACATGTTTGATATTAAAAGTATATATACAAAAACCGAAAATCAAAGCAAACAAAGACCCTATCAAAATGCAATTTAAGATCATATATAATAGTGCAAACAACGAATTTGAATTAGAATATTTAAATTACTCTTTAATATATACGTTTTTCACAAGATTAGAAGAAAACGATTTGATGGAATGCAAATATAAATTACGAAGTCGTGTTTTTCTGAAGAGAAATCCTTTTTCAAATATAGACAGATTCTTCTCTCGTCAATCATCCGATAATTGAAGAAAAAAAACTCTTACGGAGTTGAGAGAACTCATATAGATCTAGGACTTATATTCACAATTAGGATAATACGTATTGTAAGCGATATCAATTTTCTGTAGCTATACGAAATATGAAGATGTGGTATTAGTTCAAAATGACGTGATGTTAGCAACCGATGTTTTGAAATCATTGTGATGCGAGCACGTAATTATAATTTGTACGTACTACTGCGAAGCATAAACGGTTTCATCAATAAAGTTTTATATTGTATAGTACCTTTGGGTATAATTAAAAGAATTTCGAGCCTAGCAATACGCGCTGGCTCTTTGGGATGCCCCCTGGTAAATAATACTTCAATTCAATTTTATTAAATATGTATATTAATACTACGCTGAAATTCAAATGGATTAGTGAATCTACTGAAATTTTCATTATTGCTATTCATTTGAGAGATCTCGAAGATAACTTTGAAGTTTTGTTTATATCAAATTTGGTAAGAACTGTTGGCTTGTTGTTTTATTAATGCTTAACAATCAAAATCCTGTTTTATTATTGAACTAAGGCAAATACATGGACATGTACAAATGAGACATTTTGAATCGAACAGCATAAAAGTTACAAAAAAGCCGACATATAGAGTTAGCATGTTAGTACATGTACGAATGAAACACTTAGAATCCGACAGCACATTCAGGTTACCCCCCCCCCCCCCCCCCCAAAAAAAAAACAAAAACAAACAACAACACATGTACAGTTAACCACACGGTTTCCAACACACATGTACAGTTCAGCACACGGTTTCCAACACATGTACAGTTTACCACACGGTTTCCAACAAATCATTTCATTTTATTTGAAATAACTGAAGTTATCGACACGGAAAGATCTCATCGATAAAATTAATGACCACCCTTTGCCCCTCCAAAACTCCTTCAATATACTCATTCACCATTTACTATAGTGCCAATAAATATACCATTCACAGTCATTACTTTTTATATTAACAATTTGTCATGGACGTTATTTGTAGTCTGCTTCTGAAAGGATCTCTTGCATACTCTGTCAAAGATTGATGTTTTACCCTCTTTCCTCATAATTTAACTTTTTTTTTCTTTCTATTTTTTTCTTGCTTGTCAAACTATTTTGTGATTTCAAAAAAATATTGCAGCACAGATTATAATTGTCCCACCAACTCAATAGCAGTTTGTTTGCAGGGAACAGCGTCATTCTCTCAATAAGTACTACTGTCATATTTGTATAAAATTTAATTAAAATAATTGATTTCGTCGTAAAGTACATTTTAGATATGAAACGCATACAATTGTAAATTTATTGAAATTTGAAAAACTATTAAATAATAAATATTTCATTACATTTAATGCATCTACGGCATTTGTCATGGAAGGATTATCCAAAACGATTTAATATTCGATAATTGTTTTCATTAATCTTTTTGGAACACTCGTAAGAATGACTGCTTGAAAGGATAAATTGTTTAAAGAACGACATTGGCGTACTTTACGACGAAGGCACCCACTCTACCATTTTCATATATATAAAAGTCTCCTAAGTAGTCAATTTCTATATAAATATGAAAAGACCCAACCGAACTACAAGGAAAAAAAACAACTTACAACGGTCTGTGTTTTTGTTAGTTGTTTCTGCTTTGTATCGATCTGATGCGTTAAGCCCTTTTCAACTGAATTTTATAGTTTGTTCTTATGTTGTGCTGTTACACCACTGTGTCAGGTTAGGAGGAGGGGTTTGGTCCCAGCAAACATGTTAAACCCCGCAACACAATTGGCTGTGCCTGTAGTTCGTTCATTTTTTCATGCCGGGCCTTTTATAGCCAACTATACGGTATGTGATTTTCTCATTGTTGAAGGCCGTATGGTTACTTATAATTGCTTACATCCACATCATTTAAACTTAAGTGGATAGTTGTCTCATTGAAAATCATACCACATCTCCTTATTTTTTATATTATTGTCTAATCGTTACACAGGCTATTTTATGATACCCGATATTCTAAGCAATTATTTTTTAGTCCGAATATAAGTGTCATTGATCCGTAAAGACGATTAAAAATAAAATGGCTCCAGAGTTAGCAGGAGTGACTTCTATGTAAAAATGAACTTTCAATTGAAATAACACAACGACAAAATGACCAAAGAAATAGAAAATATTACACAACTCCTCGACATGATGTTAGTTACTTAAAACGACATTGTATTGATGATTTCATTTACGTAACATTTAAAATCGATTTAATTGTTAACATTACTTCAAATGAATAAAGATTTATAAAGTATTTTGATGCCATAACATTTTTAGCTTGATATATTTAAATTTATGTTATATATATTGTAACCACAATGAAATAATATAAATTGTCTAGCGTCAATGTGGTCAGCTAGAGGCGGGAATAAATTTTTAGTCATGATATGGTTGTCATAGAAGTAAACAAATCCAGCAAGTCCTAATCGTATGATTTTTCTATGAAAAGTAGGAAAAGTAAATTGCAAACTTCGAGGTTTAAAGTCAATGTCCAGTGTTGTATGAGCAGTTTTATCAACATCATTACGGACGTGGTTGCGTATTCATACATCTAAAGCTTCGTATTCATACATTTGAAACTGCCAAGTAAGCATCCATTTGGTATGAGCAGTTTTTAAAAAACCATTACGGACCGGGTTGGGTATTTATACATCAAACGCTAAGTATTTATACATTCGAAATTGCCAAGTAAGCATCAACTTGGTATGAGCAGTTGTGTCATTATCATTACGGACGGGGTTGCGTATTTATACATCCCAAGCTAGGTATTATACACTCAAAACTGCAAAGCATCAATTTAGTATGAGCAGTTGTATCAAAATCATTACGGATGGGCTGCGTATTTTATACCCCACTGCGTATCTATACATCCAAATCTGCCAAGCAATCTTTTTTCAGATTAGACACGCCATGCAGAATGCACCAATTGTAATGTTTTAGCTAATTCTGAATATTGGTACAAGAATATGCAGATTAATTAAATTGTGTGATATAAATGAAACATAATCCCCGAAACAGTAATATAAACAGGGCACCTTTTTTGTGTAGATATACACCTTATACATTTAGTGTAGCCTTGAAAATTACACGAATTGAATGAAATCAAGTATATTGAATGAGAACGTGATGTCCTAGCTTTTAAACTGAATGAAATGAACATATTTTATTTCAATTGGAAACACTTCTTGCATGGTATTACAGATAACTTAATCAGCCGTCAATTCTTAAAAAAACAAGGCAAAGATTGTTGACAAGTATACATAAAAGAAAACCAATAAAGTCAATAAATTTTAGGACAAGCCTTTTTAATATATACATTTAGGAAATTGTATTATATTTGTAACTTACACATTAAATGAAAGAAAGAAAAGGTGGGTTAAATAAGGTTAAATATACCGAAGGTCGACAAACTTCCGTACATTGAATTTAGGATTGAGTTTATTGAGGATAATATGCTTTCAAGCCTATTTTTCATTCAGTGCTATTTATTTGTTCTCGTAATAAAAAAAACCCAGAATATATGCATTTTAATTTCAATTAGAAATATCAGTGACATTATAAAATTGCACTGAGGTATATTTTTTTCATCTCCAAAAAGTGCATTTTACGCAATTTATAAATTACATAATGCATTTTGTAAAGAAGGAAACACGCTATGGAATTTCATGATAAATCAGTTTAATGTCCTATTAGTATTTAAAGAATGTTATTTAGTTATTTGAAATAATTATAATACAGTTTGATCTTTGAATCAAGTGTTAAAAAGTGTCAATAAACATCTTTACATATGTATGAAATCACTCAAATTAACTAAATATAAAAAAGCAATATATATATATATATATAAGGTCTATGTGGCGGAAAGTCGTTCGTAGCGGACAAATTTATAAAAGGCTCCAAGTTCAACTTATACATGTTAAAGAAACTGAATAATCACCGGAAAAATGTTCGTACTGTTTGAATCATTCCCTTATTCGAAATAGAAAAGGATAAAAGGGGGAACAGAGGTGACGTCAGTGAGACAGGAACAAAACAAAACAATCGAACACAAAAATGAGGTAAATAAATTCTTAATCAAGCCAGAAACAAATATCCAATCATATAAAACTCATATTCTCTTTGAGTGTATTGTTTATGAATTTAACATATATTAACAAACAAAAAATATCTAGATTGCCCCTTAATTGCCTTTTATGACAGCATTTTTTATTTGTCCGTTATACTTTACATTTTTTGTTATTACCCCGCACATGTGTTCTTCAATTTACATATGTAGTATGATAGACCATGGAAGTAATATTTAAATATTACTTCCATGGATAGACTTAATAAATTATACCGCCGAAATTGTTACTAGCAGCATTGATAACATTGATAAAATAAAGTCAAGAGAAGCGACTGAATACATATAATAAGAGTAAATGTATCTTCTATTGTGCTTTATTATTGACCTCATTCACCTATTAAGACAATTTCTTTTCTATTTCAGCTATAACACTTGTTTTGCATACTTCTATCATTCTGGTAACAATACTTCTGATGATTCAAGGACATACAGTCTTTCCAATTGAGTTCGAAGAGCTTCCTTTAATACTATATACAGATGTAGACCGAGTGAAGGACCTTGCTTGGAGGGATTCTATGAAATACCCGTTTAGAGTGTATCGCCGTATCGTTGGTGTGACAATACCCACGTGGTATAATGGTGAAATCGGTGATACGTTAGAAATTATAGTTGAAGGGAACGATGTCTTCTCTACAACAAATTTGGAATTATTGTATCAAACAGAAAATAGACTGTTTAATTTCCAAGACTTCCAATCAGATTTCTGTCTAATAAACGCACAAGGTACCTGCGAAAAACCTATATCAGTTCTCCGTCTTTTTGACGGAACATATAAAGATGTTGATCCAGTATTCGACTCGTCATCGTTTGTTAATGCGTCCAGTGTGATATGCAAAGCAACACAAACTAATGAAACAAAAGAGTTCATTCAGTTAGTTTTACAAAAGGATTACGACCCTTGTGACTTAGGGAAAACATCATCTAAAACGAGATTCTTTATGTTTTTTGGGTGGCCATTAGTAGGTTATAATGATGGCGAAAGACTTTCTGAATATCAGGTTCAAAAACTTAGGCCCGAAATAGAAAATATTCGAGATAACACATTGGACGGGCATATGTCTCTGTATTATATGAGTATAAAATTGTTTGAATATGACGTAAAAAAACAAGCGTTTACTGATATGAAATTAGCCATTGGAAGTTTTAGTTTCATATTTGTATTTATGTTGTTCCAAACAGGATCCTTTTGGATAACATCTTTTGGAATTCTAAGTATTATAACAAGCTTTTTACTGACAAATCTAATTTACCGATTCGCCTTTAAATACGAGTATTTTGGATTTTTCCATATCATTTCTATTTTTATTATTCTTGGAATCGGTGCTGATGACGTTTTTATATTTTATGACACTTGGAGATTATCGGGAAACACGGAATACCCTTCGAAAGCCCATCGTCTTTCAGATTGCTACAGGAAAGCAGCAAAAACGACTTTTGTTACATCGCTGACAACTATGGCAGCGTTTCTAGTCAGCGCTCCGTCACCTTTACTTCCGGTGTCGTCATTCGGATTATTCTCTGGAATGCTTGTAGGTGTTAACTACCTGTTTGATCTTATTTGCTTCCCAGTTGTAATACTAGTCTATTCCGAAGCAATTAAACCAATGTTTGATAAATGTATTTCATACTGCCCATGCTGTCGCTCAGAAGAACTTAAATCCGAAAGAACTATTAGTCAGGAGTCTTTAATCATTTCCCACCGCAGAAGCAGATTGTATTCTAAAAATATAGGCATGTTTAATCCAGATCTTCCGAAGTTTAATAAAATGTTTAAACGGAAAATTGACATAAATGAAGAAGAAGAATCAACAAGCCAGACAGATGAATCAAAAGAAAAGAAGAATTTCGAAGATCGGAATAAAGTGGTGTTATTTCTTAAAAATGGATTCTATGACTTTATGACAAGGCGTTCCGTTAAAATTATTGTACCACTGGTCTTTTTTGGAACCTCTATCTTTTTTATATACAATGCAACTACATTAGAACCAGATAGCAACCAGGTAATTTAAATTGATTATATGCTTTTAGATATCTAAACGAGGATTGCCATTGGTCAAATGGCTACTAGAGGTTCTTCTAGACATGTACGAAACAGCAAAAACAGGGAGTCACACATACACGCACGCAAATATATACACAATGCACAGGCTATTAGAACCGTAATTGAACCCACGTACTCGGCAAAATTTGCTACTTATCTTAAATAAAACTACTAAATTGGCAGAATTAGGCAATTTTATCATATTGACCTTTTCAGTGTTCTTAAATTTCTATATTTCTGTATGTAGCTTGTCGTCCTGTACATGCATGAAATATTTGCCACTGAACGTTAAGCAACCAACGATCAACCAATTTCACGTATGCTGAAACCCGAAAAGCCTTTCATAAAAAATTTACATTGATCAAAAACTAAAGTTATGTAAAACACTCGTAACCCCTTTATTTTGTTAATGTTCGCCATTTTAATGCAGGTCTAAGTGTTTTGCGAGTAGATGCCATTAAGACAACTAACTACGTTGCAAAATTTCTCAAATAAAAAGATAATTACGACTGTTAAAATATAAAGATAAAGTAACGAATGAAACAATGGAAATGGAAATACACAATGTATCTGATACGTCCAAACAGTAATATGGTGTCAGAAGAAAAACTAAAATATTAAATCTAGAGAAAAAAATAAACTCATACATAATGAACGATTTTTAGAAATGCAAATAGAACGTTATTTTTATTTTTGTTTGCAGGTAGAAATTTACAGAAGTTCTCATAACTATGGAAAAGCGTACAAAAACCATTATTATGGATTCCAAAGAAATTTTGAAGAAGAAGATACCCGTATTCGCTTGTCATGGGGAGTGAAACCTCAAAACATGGATAGTTGTAATTTAAAATCAAGAGACTATTGTGTTGGTGTAACTGAATGGGATGAAAGCTTTGATGCCTCATCAGAGGAAGCGCAACTTGCTCTCATGGTAAGCCCTTCATTATTGCTAAGTTTAACAAGAGCAACCATTGCAATTTGTCGAAAGACTTACTCAGTTTTACCATCTGTTTCATATCCTATATCTTGATTACTTTTTATATATTGACTCTTATATTTTAAGCATATATGAATTTAAACTCAAATGAACCGTCATACAAAAGGGAGATTTTGTTAGTTGTAAAACATTGTCTTACCCGCCACTTTTATTTGAAAAATGTCTGTACAATTTCAGGAATATGACAGACTAGCAATGATGCAAGTTTAAACATATTTTCTCTAAAATTTGCTAGTATCTATGCAGATTGATTTTTAATATACCTTAAAGTTTAGTACTATTTTTCCTTATTTTCAAGGATGTTTCTTAATGTATCCGTTTTCGATGCATAAACAAGAGAACCATAGACTTCGACGATAGGGGTAACTTTGCCCTTGCTCCATGATATGAGATCTTTTCTAATAGTCCATCTTTAAAGACTAATCTGAGTTCCTGATAAATGTCCTCGTTGTCCTTATCGGCATTCTTTCTGATATCTGAAGTTTAACGGAATCTGTCATGATTTGGTTAACCGTTATGGAATATCAGTGTGTCAGATGAACACGGACATGTTCCATTTGTGGTAACCACAATCCCGTCCTCTATTTCTAATTTATGACATCAACAAGAACTACTTATAAACAGATTATAACCTTGCTAAGAGCAACACCACGTAAGACACTAGAGGACCAGAAACTGCTAACCCTTTCACAGCACCCCAATTCACTACAGTGCATGGTTGTTTGATAAAATTGTTGTTCATGCAAACCTACCTGTACAATTCTTTACCAAACCAGGTTCATGTTTATATGCCCTACATACGATAGTAGTAGGGGCATTATGTTTTCTGGTCTGTGCGTCAGTTCGTTCATCCGTCCCTTCGTCCGTCCGTCCGTCTGTCCCGCTTCAGGTTAAAGTTTTTGGTCAAGGTAGTTTTTGATGAACTTAGTACACATGTTCCCTATGATATGATCTTTCTAATTTTAATGCCAAATTAGAGTTTTGACCACAATTTCACGGCCCACTGAACATAGAAAATGATTGTGCGAGTGGGGCATCAGTGTACTATGGACACATTCTTGTTTATGTATTGTTTCGTAGACTATTGTTTGTCTTTTCGTCTTTTTTCTTTTGCCTTTGATGTTTTCTGTCCTTTTTTGACTTAGCAAAAGCGGCGTATCTAAACAGTGTGAGCTATTCTTTATCTATCCAAGTCAATGTTTGATGTTTAGCCATTTTAATGTTTTGATAAAAAAAAATACCTGAAAATATATAGGCAGAAATAAAGTAAAATAACATTTGTTTCAGAATGTATGTACCAGATTAGAAAATTTAACCGATGCAGAGATAGCTGCATACAAGATCAAGAGGAACCCTGTCACCAACGAACCGGAAATAGCTTGTTTTATGTCAGCATTATATAAATATTATCAGGTAAAATATTTTGAAGATCTGTTATGGTCTTATTTGACATTAGGTTAATAAGAGCACTCCTAAATGAATTTTACAGAATATATTCTTTAGTTACATTCCTTATTTCACTGTGTATAATCTTTTGATAACTGTTATATGTTTTCTCATCATTTTGCTTGTGTGTTTTTCATTGACTTATCGTTTTCATTGCAACCTTGGTGTTTTTTTTAATTATATGCTATAAAAGATTTATAACGCTATAATCTTTTTTTCAGAACTTAGCTAATACTGTGACATCATTTAACCTAACTGTGCCATTTCCGTTTACAAAGAGTTATGTTGAACTGTTCATGCAGTACAACAGCCATATATACGACGTGTCCAGTCAACCGGCTGACTTCGACAGACATCTAGAGGTAGGCTTACATACACACATATGCTTTTTGAAAATATTATTGCTAAAAACCATTATGTTTTATACATATACAATTGTAATCATTCATTTCACAAAGTAAAACAAAACTCCACTTGATATTTAGGAATATTTTTGTTGAATGCAACGATGTCACATGTGAAGCGGGGTCTGCTAACCCTTCTGGAAAACATGAGTTCACCCCAAAGTTTTTAGTTGGGTTCGTGTAGCTCAGTTTTTTGTTTCCTGTGTTCTGTTTTGTAGGTTGTTTGTCTTTTGGCCATTTTTTTGTTGCCTGGCATTGTCAGGTCGTTTTCGACTTATGATTTTTTATATTTCTTTGGTATCTTCCGCCTATCTTTTAAAAGATGTAGACAAAAAGCAAATGGTTGGTATGAAGGGAAGTAACATAATCCATGTTTGACGAACTCATTAACATATATACTTTTGTAATACATTAGCGTTAGTGTTTTACTCTAACGCTATGGTGTTGTTTTCGTCTGGATATTTATCAGTTTTATTGTACATTCGAAAATTATGCTTTGTTGTCTATCTCTAACTTTTCATTTCACTTTGTTCTACTAAATTCCTGGAGAAAATAGTTAAATAAAATAAACTCAACATCCTTCTTAGACACATTGGTGTACATTTAGTAGTATGAAGGGGTGTTAATGTGTAAGCACGACTTAAATCATAGGTTTAATCTCCAAACAATTTAAATCAATTTTTAATACCAAAACATAAGGACGACAGTCGGCTTATAGGTGAAATAATAGAACGAAACACAGATTTTAAACTCAAATTTGTCCAGTATACATGCATTTACCTTCTGAATACTCACCACACATGTACAATGTAGTTCATAGTTACAATACAGCTGTTTTTCCCACATGTATTTTATCTATAGCATGTGTTTTGGTTTTAGACAAATACCAAAAGGTGTACATAGAGAGCTTTAATTAACACTAGGGTAGCACTGACCTCTTGACCATGCTGTACAGTGTGCGCTCTTTAGTTCATCGTTGGAAACCTTCCCAACTGCCCAGATAGAGAGCAAGAATAAAAGCGCTGTTTCTTTGATCTATGAGTTATTTCCTGACATTTGATGATTTCATTACATTTTTCTCTCGTATATATAAACCTTATATTCGTTCTTTTCAAATGTACGCACACTTAGTTTGGTGAAATGAGACTACATTATTATGTTTACCTTTTAGATTTTGATATCCTACTGGTTGACCAATGGCTACACAGCAATACCAACGAATGACTTTTGGTTGTATAATCCTTTAATTGGAGAAAAGAAAGTATCTGGCGTGACCAGAGTGTACAACAATCATCCAGCATATGGTAAGTTATATACTGATCGCGAGAGGTTTATTTGAGCTAATTTCGCAATTTAGACAAAAACGTGAAAATATCCGTTCGTATATATCGCAAATTTATCCCGCGAAGATGCATATCGTTAGAAAAGAATCAACTCGGTAAATCATGCAACATTTTGAGACAAACTAAATTTGTTGAAATCAATCAAACAACTTAATATCATAACTTCGCTTAAAAATAACAACTTTGTCATTAAAATCATATTCCGATTATGCTTCAAACTGGATTTTATCGCCACAAGAACGTGCTGTAGACTGAATTTTACACATCAGAAATAACTGATTTAGAGCATGCATGGAATCAGTTGTTGGAGAATTTTTCTGATGTACTTTTATTGTTATTTATCAAAAGAAAATGTCTGTAGCAAACAACACAAATGTTTGGCGGTCTCAGCATAGAGTTATCAAATTTTGTGCTAAAAATATTTTATAGTTTAGAGTCAAAACATCTTAATTTAAAACTAGATATGCCATATGATAATATGTTTTGGTTGCTTATATAGACATAATGTCTTTTGTCAGGCAAAGAAATTCGTTTTTTTTCGGACAATTTTACCAGTTTATTTTAATATTATCAATTACTGCTGTATATGTTTCTCAATGTGATTGAAATACAGACCATGTGTCCACGTTTCGCTTAAGGTGGTACATAACACTACAAGGAGATAACTCGGTAAAAATCAGACAAACGTTTTAATCACGTTCTTTTGTTAAGGAAATATTAAGCTTCTCAATGATCAAAATTAGTGTTTGTCAAACTGCTATATATCCAATGACATTTTTCCGATAAAGTGTGTGGTTCAAGTTGTTTGAAATTTTTATATTTTTGTCAAAGGGTCAATGTAAATAATTTGTTAAAATTTTATGAAAATTAAACGAGCCAAATTAATTTTAGTCAATGTGTTTGGTACCTATCTAACAACATAACATTCTACTTCCTGTCCTGGTAAATATTACATCTGCCATTGAAATGTCTGTCTCTAAATTGTTCATGGTGTGTTTCATTATGAAAAAAACCAGAGGATTCCGCAAGGTCAGATCTTTTTAAAAAAAAAAGCGTGGACCCACGTCAGGATCTGTATTCTTATTGGAATGTTTGTTTCTTTAAATTGATTTTCTATAAATATGTATTTTAGGTATGGTGTATGGTACAACACTTAAGGTAATAGGAATAGAAATAAATACAACTATGAGCTATTTTACGCTTGGATATCCAGAGGGCAAACCAGTGCACCAATTGTGGGAAAACTTAATCAATGAAGAGGTATGTCAGCAACTTTTGACAATTTTCTGTGATCTTAAAAAGCTACATCTAAGAAAAAGGATTACACAATTTTAACACCACTGGTAATTTTCAGTTGAGACATGGCATACATTTTGTGGAGAACAAACTATAGGAACGATAAAAAATGTAAGAATCAGAAGGATAAGCACCACCATTATCAAAAGTAAAAGGATATAAAAAGATCCATAACTTATTACAAAATAAACAGTTTTTTTTCTAAAGATTGAGTAACAAGAACCACATTTGAAACCACAACCGCATAATTAGAAAATTCAAACCTTAAAAAAGGACCCAAAACATTCTAATAATACAGCTATACAGCGGCATAGTCTTAAGATATACACAAAGATGAAATAAACCAGCAACAAAAAGACCCAAACGTAGCAAAATCTCAGAAATATACAGGAGCAAGAAGTGAATATGCTCATTTTTCTTAGCTCCTATAAACTTCTAGGAATATCATTGGTTTGACGCGATCACGTCGAAACCGTGAGTATTTGATATTAGGTCAGAGGGCGAGGTTTATTTTAAATAACGTGTGACGTTGAGTAGTAGTAAGAAGTAGAGTTACGTTCCTTAAAAAAACCAGCACGGTGTTGTGCTCAAATTAACATGCATTGTAAACATATGAAATTATATGTTTCAAGCTTTCAGACAAAAACGCCGACTTTCACCCATATTGATCATTATAACATCAACTGAAATATATTTAATTTTCATCAAGTTTTATTAAGTCTAACTTCCATACATAAGAAAGTCGGTAAGAAAAATTCGTTACACAGTGTGCTAGTGACCCAATACGATATATATATGGGGTTAACTACCCTCGTTTGTATCATAATAGGTTACTAGCACACTGTGTTACTAATACTATAATACTTATAAAGACATAGTAAAAAGATACGATAATTAGCAGATAAACCAATGAAAATTTTGTCTCATTGGCATCCTTCCAATAGTTTTACATTAGGAACAAAGAACACAATTTGAAAAAAAAAAAAATGACAGTTCAAATTTCATACCTATGGAATAAAATGAAATACAAGTCATTTTTCCGACAATGAACAGTTTTCCGGTGACTAACTAACGTTGATACCATTTATAGATTAGTTTTTATATAATACTTTTTACTGACTAGAAAAGGTGGCATATGATCTTATCTATGTATTAAGTAAAAGAGAGGCGAAAGATAACAGAGGGACATTCAAACTCATAAGTCGAAAATAAACTGACAAAGAATAAGACAAATAGACAAACAACAGTGCACAAAACACAACATAGAAACTAAAGACTGAACAACACGAACCAAACCAAAAATTAGGGGTGTTATCAGGTCCTCCGAGAGGGTAAGCAGATCCTGCTCCACATGTGGCACATGTCATGTCACCTTCAGAAAACGTAAACGATTCCTGAGAGTTGCATGTCGTAAGCATCAGTACAACAGACTGTTTCAAGTATTTTTATTACTATTTTAGGTTGAAAAGATGCCAGATTCCTTGAAGAGTGGGTTTCAGTCCACCTACAACACGTGGCATTGGATAAAAGTGCAAGAGGTACGATATTGTTTAGTTTTAGAATTACCGTTTGGCACCACTTTTTTACATCGTAGAGCTATATTGTATGATATAAAATTTAAACACATTATATTAGAAAATTTGAAAGTTACAGTATGTTTTAACAATACGAGTTGAAAAACGAAGATATTTGTTATAAGAAATCTTCAATAGACTGACTTTTTACCATTTTTTTGCAAATTGAAAATTAGGAATACTGAACAATAATAAAAATATTTTATACAAGGATCGAAATTCAACAACAAAATGACTGCTTACGTTAACGACTTATACTTTTCTTTTTCTATTTCAGACATTAGTCAAGTCAGCTATACTCGGATTGGTTGTCGGGATAACAGTGGCATTTCCAATTTTAGCATTGACTACATTAAATGTGGTAATTGGCTTCCTGGCTACAGTTTGCATTGGTCTTGTTACAACAATTGTAGTCGGTATTATCCCACTGGCAGGCTGGAAATTAGGGGTAAGTTTGTAGGGGTATTGTTCCAACCTCATTTTCACGAGGTATTCTATGCGCAGGTCATATTATGAAAGACTAAAAATAGCATATCCATTCAATTGGATGGACACAAAAGACCAGACAAAGTTTGAAATACCTTGTATCGACTCCCACCATGGACGGGTACAAAGGACAAACTCATTCTGACCTATGTTTAACCCCCTTCCTTTCTGTCTATTTTTAAGCTGGCAAACTACATTGTAATTTAGTGTACCCTTAGTTGCTTAAAAACCATCAACGATACATGCAGTTAATAATTGTAGTAGCTTATGGTTATAATTTATTGTGTTGCTACATTATTACCAAGTGAATGGATGGATGTAACATTCATACCTACTGATATTTAGGAATTATATGCTACTATGTATATGTCGCGGTAGTCATTAAATTTTATAAAATTTCTTCTAAAATTTTGTCTTCTTAATTTTCCATAAACTTCCGTATGGATATTTTTTTCTAACGAAATACATGTATATAAAATATCGTCTCTTGTTTCGTCAACCATGTACATGTTTCACACGTTCATAAAACATGCTTAAATTGTTATATCTTTTTTTTCAGATTTTAGAGTCGTTAAACCTTGCATTGGTTGTCGGACTATCTGTTGACTATGTTGTTCATCTCGCAGAAGCTTATCGGACGTCACCGCATTCGACACGTGACGGTCGTGTCAAGAGCATGTTAGAGAGCATGGGTCTTTCTGTACTCTCTGGAGCTATTACAACGTTTGGTGCTGCCATTTTTCTATTGTTTGCTCAAATTAAGTTCTTATATGAATTCGGAATATTTGTTATGAGTACTGTTGGGATTTCATTGCTATTTGCTTTCTTGTTTTTTACAACGTTTATGGCATTATGTGGACCGGAAGGCGATACAGGTTCCATTCCGGCATTGTTCAAGCAAGTAAAGGCTAAATGTACCAAAAAGAAAGAAAATCAAGAAAAGGACAAAAGCAAGTGTTCTGCATAAGTATTGCGTTGTCTTACAGTACACATTACACGTGTTCAGTTTTATTATATTAATTTATTTTAATGTTTGTTATTTGTTTGTTAATATTATTAAATTTTACACTTTTTTAATGTTTTGAATTTGTTTGTCTTTTTTTAACTTGGAAAATGCTAACCTTTAATACAGTGTATACATATTAATCAGTTTAATCCAGCATTGACATATTTTCCAAATCTTTCTATCTAACAAATGTCTAAAGTGCATATTTAATAATCTTATTTTACTTTGTGTGGAAGGTAGTTCACGGCTTTCCTTGTATTAACATAATCTGTGTAGCACGTTTTGTTTATAAAAATAACTAATGTAGCACAACCAAAGAAAACTACACTGGTTTACTTTTACCGGTGGAGATGTTTGAACTCTACATTCAATTGACTCTTTCATGGTATGAGGGGATTGCTATAAGTAAAAGGATATTTGGATATACAGCAATGATTTAAAAACTTATACTAAATTTTCTTCAACAATTAGACAGATGTCTAGTCATTTATGTAAATAAGTCCAGCTCTAAATCGTACGAGTGAAAAAAAGATGCTTTCGAAGATCTGTCATCAACCATAATTTAAGAGAAAAAAACATTAAGGTAGCAGACAAGACAACCGCTGACGAGATTCCTTGCAAAAGACAGATAGAAACATCGGACCACTTGTGTAGGAGAGTTAAAAAAAAACAAGTAAAAAATAGACAAACAAAAAAGAGCCAACGAAATACACAAAAAACCACAGAAGTTGGAACTCTGGAAGGTTAACATTTCCTGTTCCATTATAACAGTAATATATGCGTGTCTGTCGTATAAAATTTTAATCATGGTATCTATGATGAGTTTATTTACAACCACTTGGTCGCTGCCACTGCTGTTGGAGGTTTCACCAGGATTTTCTACCCAAGGAATACATTAATTAATTTAGCTGTATTTGGCAAAAACTTTCGGAAGTTTTGGTACTCAATATATTTCACCCATAGAAAACAGGTAAAAACATATAGAAACAAAAAAGAGCCAACAAAATCCACAAAAAAAACTTATATCCTTCAGAGTAGAGTTTACCGCAATTCTTGATTGTGGTGTCAGTTTTTACCCATCTTCGCATTATTGTGTTCATTTAGGGTATATTTCACCCATTAATACTGGGAGAGATTTCAATTTTCCCGGAAGTGTAACAATATCACGAATGTGTGCGACATCTTCGTTTAGAAATAAATAATAATAGACGTTTCAGATACAAATTTGACATCGATCAAAATCAGTTCTATGATGTGATCCATTTCGTAAACTTATTTGTGATAATTTGTGACATGTACAATTAATAACGATCCACTAAGTTATGGTGGCAATCGTCAAACTGATGAATTTATGGTATACATTTAACGCGCTTGCTGTAGTATTTTAATTGGAAATGGCTCTGGCGGTTTGTTACTTTAGGAGACATGAGTTCTTCGGGGGAGATGCTGTGTATATACCATAAGACATCTTATGTAAACATAGCAATATACTGCTGTTACAAAATTTTGAAAAAAAATTTTCAATAAAGGGATATATCTTCCTCATGCAAAACTTTGATTCCTTGCCCGGCCTTAACTATACTTTTTTACCTCTCGGTTTATAAGCTCTTCGATTTTTCAAATAAGTTTTAGATTTTCAAATATTTTGGCATCAATCATTACTGAAGAGGCATTTATATGCATCTTGTGCAGTAAATTTGGTACCGTTTATATTATTACATGTGTCAGACATCAAGAATTCTTTAATTTAACTGACTCACAAGACGCTCGTGGTCTTTATATCAAAGTATTTGTAAGTACTATTATTATCAAAAACCGTATAATAATAATCCAAAGTTATTATCAGACACATTGAGAAAAAGTAGATAACTCGAATGAGTAATTCCAATATTGAAAAAATTAAAACAACTCTTTATAAATTTCATGCATCCGATGCCTTTTCTGGATTGAAGTTCATCAGGAATGCTCAAAGTCGAATATTTGAAAGTCAAGAATGTATAAGAACCGAAACTGTTGAAAAACTATATGAGAGCCTAAAAAAAATACCCGTGCTCCTCCAAGGTCAACTTTGCCCTAGGGAATTTCAGAATTTATATACGGGTAACTTTTAAAAAAAATTGTTATAAATCATTTCAGTACCGAACTACTGAGCTGATGATACCTTCGGGGACTTTTTAAAGCCGAATATTTAAAAGACAAGGATGTGTAAGAACCGAAACAGTTGAAGAACTAAATGACCAAAAAGGGCCGTATTTATAATAGCCAAATCCATCTAAGGTCAACTTTGCCTGAGGAAGTTGAGAACTCGATCAATTTCTTTTCAATTGTGCGCTCCTGATAACCGAATTGTTATGCATTCATACAAACCGTTTATGTACACGACTTCCTCTGGACAAGAAAATCATTAACCAATCTCTTTAAATTACGTTTTCGGAAACATTATTATGTTCCTTCACGCCAAGTGTTTTCATCTTGTAAATTGAGTTTGGTGGTCGACTTAAAAGTATGATCTATTACAAATTACAAAGATTGCAGTTTTCATATTGTCAACAGTCTTGAGTATACTATAATATCTACACAAGAATGGCCTGTATGCATCTAAGTTGATATAATATACCAATAAATGTTCTAATTATGGTAAATTCAAAGAATATTATAGTAAAATCGACACAACATAAGTTTTACGGTAAATATCACAAGTACAATGTATCCCACAAACGATATGTTTTCGCAGTCTTAGCTATTTATATACAAGAATAGTCGTCTGATTCGTAAATTTATCGATTCTGCTATTTTTCTATTTTGAGAATTTGACTGAGTATATGGATTCACTTGCCGATTGCGGATTCAAGGATATTAACATAAGACGCTTTTCCTGTCAATGCACTTGATATCGCTCCATTTGCAGTTAGACCTATTCCCATTGGTTTCGTTTTTTATATTTTTTTTCTAAATTGACGTGTCATGCATGCAGAGCATGAGATTCTTTAAGTTACGCTGATGACACACATTGAGTCACTGAAGGTTATTCTCACGCCACTCAAGGTTATTCTCACGCCACTCAAGGTTATTCTCACTCCACGCTTTATTTGATCACTATTGGTATTCTGAAATCTCAACTGACATCGAAAGTCTGCCTTCAGGTTTATCTGTATTCTTTTGTTAAGGGAGCTACCATTTGATTTTTATGGGAGGGACTGGGATGAAAAATTTTATCCTGACTTTTTTTTTACATAAATTGTCATCCTGCCTTTTTTTTTTTGGCAAAGTGTCTCATCCTGCCATTTTTTTTCAAAACTCCTGTCCTGCCTTTTTTCAAATTTCATCCTAGCCCCCTAAAAATCAAATGATAGCTCCCTAATGGCTCAACTATACTTTAAACATGAAGAAGTCATTCAGTCTTCTACTTCAGAACAGGTGGATTTTGTCATCTTAACCTTTTCACCCTTGTCAACCCTCTCCTGTTCATTTAAATAAATACCCTGGATATGTACAATTAATGAACGAAACAGAAACTCATCATAGACATCAGGCTTAAATTTTTGAACCCCAAATGCGCGTTTTGTCTAAAAAAAAAAACACGCATCAGTGAAACTCGATCAAAAGTTAAAAAGGCCATATAAAGTACGAAGTTAAATAGCATTTAGGACCCACAATTCCGTAGGGTTTTGCCAAATACAGGTAATGTAATCTATTCCTGCATGTGGTAGAAAATCCTAAGTAACATTTTTGTAAACAGTTGATTTATAATCATGACTACATCAATGATAATTCGTTTCAACATAGCAGCGCTGACTGCTGGACTGGTGATACCATCGGGGAGGGAACCTCCATCAGCAATGGCATCGACCCAGTGGTTGTAAATAAACTCATCATAGAAACTAGGCTTTAAATTTTGTACGCATCTGAACTCATTCCATTCTAAATTTTATCATTTCCACGATGCATTGTATGTGCAGGTCTTAGTTGCTTAAAAACCTTCAATGGTACATGCAGTTAAATTGCTACTGGGAATAAGGAAACATTGGTAGTGGGTCTCATTGGGGTCTAAGCGTGACCCGGGATTGTCGAATTTTTGTAAGCGTGACACGTGAAAGTCAAATTATTGTGCCGTGAAAACGGGAAATGAAGTCTAGCGGGACACGGGAAATTACAAAAAAAATGAGAATTGCTTACGTACATAGTGTAAGCGGGATACGGGAATCTGACAAAACAGTAAGCGGGATCCGGGATCAGAACCCCCCAATGAGACCCCCTTGGTATAGAGAAACAACACAAATCATCACAGCTATTATAAAGTCTTGAGCAGGCCCTGTTCTTCATTAGTGTTCTTAGTTTATATATCATTGGGAAAGATGGCGTATATATAGCATCTGTTAACATAATATAATTCAGAGACGTATATATTCTATAAAGCGGAGGCTAAAATAAAACGATTGCATAGGCCAACACCTTGTATTTTTGTTATGAATCAATGGATAAACTCTGCTCTATACAAGTAAAGACAGAAGTGCGTGCGGAGAATTGCGTAACTGTTGCCCATCTGATTTTACAAAATCTTTCATCCGAAGAATCCAACAAAATCGTATTCAATTTAAAAAATTCAGTCTCCTAGCAATATTTTTTCCGAAGATTCTTTTTTAACTTTTATAAATGATCAAAGTGTAAAGTTTGGAAAATCAAAAGAATGCTTTCTTCCAATATTAATACAGTATAGATCTAAAGTCTATATAAAAGCAAGAATATATATCTAGAACTATTTTAGTTGAATGACGGTTAATTGTCGGATCTTTGGCGAACACTTTTGAACCGTACATTTTTCTGTTGTAAACGCTTAATTCTTTTTAGTAACAACTACAGTCATACTGACACGATGACACAGATTGAGTTTTTTCTAAAAAGATACTGACTAATTCCCAACAACAAAACTACTGAATGCACTGATTTTAAAAATTGTGTTGTCATCTATAGTTTGGGGTACAAGAGGTCTGTGTATTGCATTTTTACACTTACCAATGAGTAAGGTAGAAGATACAACAGGTACTAGTTTGAAATATGTTTATGTCCAAAGCATAGTCTTACATTTGATTGAAGTGTGCTTAGATTGCACATTATACAAATTATTGTGCCTTGCCTCTTATTGCTTATCATTGACTTAGGTGTGTCTTTTTATATCTATTAATTTTCATTTCTACTAAATGAATAAGAAAACAAAATAAGAAAACGAAATCCTGGATATCCATATACGAGGATGATATTTTTCACTTTTTGTTGATTAGACAAACGTGTGATATATATCAACGTGCACTCGTATGTATCTGCGAATTTGATTCCATTTATAGCGCTATCCACAACATAGTAGCTAAAATGTAACATCTTCTTTGTTTTAATTTGTAGGTACACCGGATAACGTCAACAAAATTAACAGGAATGACAAAAGAAATTCTTTGACGACGTATTCCAACCAGAGATCAAATGATGCTAATTGTAAAGTACGATCAGACAGACTGCAATCGTTTGTAGAGGCTTTATCTAGAGATCCACCTGCAAGGCAAGACATTGAAATAATACCAACTGACCTGAAGAAATTTCAACATAAAAACAATGGACGTAGAAAGACTTTGGCTCCTATCATGAAAAATAAATTCTTCGCGGAATCATCTTCAGAACACAACAGTTCAGATGTAGTGGTTTCAGCTCATTCATCTGACAATTCTAATAGACAGATGCATCTGTCAGAGTATTCTCCTTCAATTTTAGAATCCGATTCTTCTTCAGTAACATCTGACGTTTTTGATTTTCCTAATACGGAAGAAATGTCAAACAATAGGTGCACCAATGTGTTGTCGAGTGTTCCTAGTCAGAAAAACGTTTTTCATGAAGCCAAAGGAAATGTGGCTTTGTCGAAATGTCTCAGTCAAAGAGACGTTTTCTTGTCAAAGGGAACAGGAGACTTTGATGATTCAGAATCTGTTCCTCCTCCTTCTTATCTATTAATATCAAACAAGACTTCTAAGAATGCAACTTTATCGAGAGGTCAAAGTGAAAAAGATATATCTGATGCAATTGCTGAAATAGACAAAGAACTTGAAATGGCGTAATTTGAATAAAGTAAAACTAATATGAAGTATACAACTAGTTAATAAAATTAAGAATGGAAATGAGGAATGTGTCAAAGAGACAACAATCCAACCAAAGAGCAGAAAACAGCCGAAGGCCACCAATGGGTCTTTAACACAGCTAGAAAATCTCGCACCCGGAGGCGGGTTTCAGCTGGCCCCTTAACAAAAATGTTAAGCACACAACTATAAGTCTATATTAAAACGCTAGTCTACCAACTTCATTTCTTAACATTTCACGAATTTTAGAATTGGACAGAAAAATTGGAACAAAATGGTTTTTACAACATTATATATCAGTTGATCTTCTTAAAATTAATTAATAAAACTTCGAATAATTCAAAGGTCAGAATAAGTTTTGAGAACACCACGGTTGATCGAATGTATGCAAAGCTCTGATTCCTTATCTGACTTTGGCTTTATTTTTTTGTACTTTTTGGTTGATAAATAGCTCTTCTTTTTTTTTAATTAGCTTTGGATTTTCAAATATTTTTGGCCTCGAACATCACTGAGGAGACATTTATTGTCGAAATGCGCACCTGGTGCAGAAATTTTGATACCGTTAATGTTATTACTTGTATAGATAATTCTTTTTTATTATCTCATATAAATACCATTTTTCAAGAACTTGTCTGCAAACCTGAAATTTAGTTAAGTCAAAGGTTTCTCAATTTAATAGACAAAGATCTTGAGCTGATGTAATTTGAATAAATAACACTTATATTACGTAAACAACTAGTTTAACGCACGACTATAAGTCTATATCAAAACGTCAGCCTACCAACCTCAGTTCCATTGACTTTTAGCAAAGGAAGCTAAGATGTCAATATCTAAGAAGTCCTTATATATAGCTTTTGAATCCTTTAAACATTTCTTTCTATTTTAGGCTATATAGGAGGAATTTTTTTCAAATATATTGCAAACCTAACAGTCTCTTATTTCTATCTGTTGGAATCTTTACTTTTCCAGCGACTGTGAATTTTTAGTACCAATTATTTCGTTGATATATCTCGTTGTTTCCAACTCCTTTAAAATCTATCGATATGTGACTGTTTTTAACATATAAACTGTATTTATGAATAAAAGGAGAAGTGGGTATATGTAAATGAGACAGCAACCAAACGACACAAATAATCAAAATGACACATATATGTTAACATACAGTCTTTAACAGTAGAGAGGTGTCCATCCAATATGTATTAGATACAGAACAAAGGAAACAAAAAACAAAAAAAAACCATGCCGGTATCAAACGCCTCGGACATTGACTTGACTACTCGTGCAGGAGAACTATACGACTGGTTGTTACAAGGTACGTAGATCATACAATAAAACCAGTACAGGAAAGCACTTGAATCTGAAACAAAGATATCGTAAAGTGTCACTTGATAAAAATTGAAACATCTCCATTGAAATTTAATGTGGTATTCGCAAAGGTTTCCGAGCGCTGTTAACTGGTCCGTTAGTATGCTAATTAGGAGGCTTATTTGATGGTTATCTAATTCATAGAGCACATCGCAAGTGCGGGAAGTCGCTGCTCGATTTTTGGGCCAATTAAATCAAATTTGACTTTAAATGTTGTATTTGCTACGTCTCCGCCAAGGTAAAGGACATTGTAAAGAGTGAGAACAAAGTATGGTCTGCTCCTAGTAAGAAAAAAGTGTCCAACCAATGTTGACATTTCTTCTTTGGGACTCTTTATGTTGTGCGCTAGCGCGTTCGGAAACCATTCAAGCATGTCTGGTACAAAGCAAGGGTCGTGATAATAATTATGAAGTTCAAATGAAATCTACCCGAATACGAATTGAAGCATATCCTTCCCAAAAATAAATAGAATAAATAAGTATGTACCAAAAATCCTAAATGTGATAGATTTTTAACCTAAACACCAAAAAAAACAAACTAACCGGAGAACTGACTGTAATTATTCATGATCGTTTTATGTGTGTTTCTTTCCTTCAATTTTAACCACAGCTTTTGGCGGGAGCTTTGGTTTTTATGTATTGCTTTGTAAACTTGTCTTTTAATCCTCTTTATTTTTGACCACGGTGTTGTCAGTTTCTCTTCGGTTTATGTGTTTTGAATGCCCTCTTGGTATCTTTCACATCTTTTGTGAAATTTGTTAAAAATGTTCAAACAGGAATACGCCAATTCCCCGTATATGTATGAATTTATACGAAAGAAGTTCAAGGAAAAAAATATCACCAAAAACTAAAAAAGATATGCAGCAAAGATTAAGCCTTAAACTTCTTAATTTTAGTTTCAAGCAAATTCAAACGTACATTATTTGAACATAAATATTTCTTTAGAATATATCAAGAAACGTGCAACAATCGAGAGCGCATAATCTAAAATTTCTAATGATTTTTTTTTGTTAGCAAAATCTAATATAGAGTAATCTATTTTGTTAAAATATTTTGCTTTCGATTTATCTCTGGAAAAAAAAATATTTTTTAAAAATCGTTTGCTGGTGGATTTTAGTCCAGTCAATCTGGGGCCGGTAACAAGAAGCATTCTTATGTCTTACGAACGTCTTAAGAGCGTCTTAAGATTTAAGAGTGTAACAAGACTCAACCTCAGACCTATCTTAGAATGATTGACAGCCCTTAATGTTTTGAAAAAGTGCATGATTTAAGAACGATTCTTAAGTCTACCTTAAAGCGATCTTACTAATTCCGGTAACACTAAATCATTCTTAAATTTTGGTCAATTATTAAGTGTTCTTAAAACAAACTTAGCGACTTAGGGCTGTACCAAGAACAACTCGCAATAGCTTCTCTTGATATTTTTTTGTAAGAGTGGTCCCGACTACTCTTAGCTGCACATTCACTAGTTAATAATATAATAAAATGGCGTTGCTACTGTATGTATGTCAAAAAGGCTAAACTAACTTTACTGAAACTTTCTGCGAAAAAAATAACGCGCGATTTTGTGAATGAAAGGGGAAAGAAGATCCTTACGCGGTGCACCCGCGCATGTCAATTGCTAACTGACCCAATAAATTTTTATCACGACCAGTCAACTGATACTGACATTATCAGAGAGTACACATCAAAGGAAAAATGCACAAATTACCGATAAATTGTTATATATGATATTATAGAATTAAATATGTTTTATTACAAAAAATGTGTTCTCAATCTTGTAGACAGATATAACAGGGTGTCATATCAGTACCAAAGACAACTCTCCATCCAAGTCACAATTTGTAAAAGTAAACCATTATAGGTAGAAGTACGGTCTTCAACACGAAGCCTTGGCTCCCACCAAGCAGCAAGCTATATAGTCTATATCAATCATGACAATAAACATAAACAAATAAAACTATAACAACTATCGCTTACTAATAATCCTGCCTATACGTATAACATGAACTGGTTGCCATCAGAAATGGAAATATAAATATTCCAACTAACAAAAGCATATGCTTACACATGCAACCAAGTATAAAGCACTAAATGCTAATACCAATATGAAGCTCTCATCTATAGAACTTACAAAAAAATTGTCAAGATTACAAACCACAACGTAATATATCAAAATTCCAAATCAATTACTAGTACAACAAAACATCTTCTTGCAGTATTACTACATCTGGAAATTAGTAACAACAACACTTAACCTGTACCGTCAAAACTAATTGCTTCTTCTAAGACAAAAACCAGATAAGATATTCATCACTTCTTTACATATAAGATGTATTATTCTTATATTTGAACGGCCTTCTGTAGTAGTCCATTTTGTCAAGCAGTAATCCTCAAAAGTAAATAATACGTTTTTCTTATCAAGTTGATTATAAGAATTTTATTTATTAATCTAATCAAGAACCCATAAAGGGCATCATTTACAACAATATTAAGCACAATATGATTGGAAAAAAGAAAAACTATATCCTAATATAATACTATCATATATTGGACAGGATCAGAGCCTAACACATCATGTGTCTTACATAACATTAACAATAATTGCATAATAATTTTATATATTTTGTATCCACCTGGATCTTATTTCTAAACACTTAATTATATAATTGCCTAGGCACATAAGAGTTGGTAAATGCTCATTTGTGAACAGCCAAAAATATTTTTTATCCTTGGGTAATTCTTTAAAATTATTACAAAAACTGTTTACTTTATCCCATAATAATTTTCTCTGTTCGTTATATAAAGGACAACTTACTGTGAAATGGGTCTCATCTTCAATAGAATTTGATCCATGTGATAGGCAGTGATGACATAGACGCTGACTTCTCTCTATGTATTTTTTACTATACCTATCTTTCTCAATTTTAAGATCATGTGCACTTATTCTCAATTTACATATAGCTCTTCTTATATTAAAATCTTTAATTGATAAATAAGCCTCCTTTATATTAACCTCACAAACTATTACACAACTGTCCAGACACAGTGTGCATTTTAAAACTACTTGCATTGTCATAAACAGTAAACAATCACATTCCTCAAAACAAAGATAAAAGTGTTTGTATTGCTACTCTAGCTATTATATATATATACTGTCTGAAATGCATGGAAAGCTGGGAGAAGTGCTGCAAATGTTGCCTACAGATGCATCACTCATCAACTTTTCACAGTAAGGCACCGAAAATAACTATAGGATATTTTGCAATGTTACCTGCAAAAGTATGAATGTTATTTACATTCTAGAATGTTTGTGGCCTCCAATATGTTGGTGAGTCAAATCAGCATTTCCACAAACGCCTCAATGACCATAGTAGTGATATCTCTAAGAAGCCACTTCTCACAGTTTCTCAGCATTTCAGACAGTCGGGTCACAAACATGATGACTTTAACCGCATGAAAATCCTAGTGATTGAACAGAACATTCACTGGAGTGATGCCCAGCGACAGGTTCGGGAAAGCTTTTGGATAAAGGAACTTAATGTACATCATCCAAACGGCATCAATAAGAAATAATAACAGTTTTATTTTTCACTCATTTTGGGATGTAAATATACTCAGATACGTATATCTGAGTATTGAGTTTTGTTTTATATTATGATGTTCAAGATTTTGGATTAAACCAATAGACCAAAACTTACCTGTATTACTGGGCTATTTTACAAATACAATCAGTATTGTTAAAATTATTGACACTGACGAAGGCTAATTTTTCTTCAGCCAATATATTTATCAACACGATTTAATAACAACATCTTTGTGTAATACCATCTTATATTAGTACCGTTGTGCAAA